TTGCCAAGCAGAAAATGAACTATTGATGGAAAAAAGCTGACGGCAAATGCAACACAAGTAAAAGACACACAGAAATGACTTTGTATCTGTGCGATACATACAAGCAGACGTGCAGTCACTGGATCTCTGTGTGTGTGTGTGTGTGTGTGTGCAAAATAAAACAGATGATTGCCCATAAGCAAAACGAAGAAAAAGAAACAGCAGCAACAACGAAAACACCAACAACAACAACAGCAGCAGCAGCAACAAGACGAGCTCAAAAGCTTTGCAGTGGCTTCGACTGCAACGGCAACTGCGACCGGCCGGGTCTAGCTCGGTCGCGGCTTCGGCTCTCTTGCTCTGCCAGCGAAGACATAAAAAATAAATAAATAAATAAGCGAGCTAAAAAGAAAACAAGCAAACATCAACAACAGCAGCACCACACACATTTATATGCATGTGTGTGCGTATATACATATGTGGAAAAACAGATGAGCGCGACGTTGCCGCTGCTGAACTCGTTTGCAGGCGGCTCAACCCGCAATGTGAGTGAAAATCGGCAACAGCGTGCGGGCAATAGGAAAACAGCAACAACAGCCGCAGCCGCAGCAGCAGTGGCAGCAGAGGCAGCAACAAAACCTTAGGCAAATTACATACAGACTTGCAGACACACATACATACAGACGTATATGTATAACCAAATATATATTACTTCCATGTGTGTGTGTGTGATTTGGGGGGCGCGTTGACTGCGAGAAACGAGTTGGAAAATCAAGATACTGACTGCCGATGAGAAGTGTTTGGAGCAGCAACAGCAGCAGCGACGCCTGCAGAGCTGCAGCGCCCATAAAAACGTTCAACGGCTACGGCTGACTTTGTATACAGCATTGCCTATGTATGCGAATGTGCATATAGTTAGATATACGCGCACACAAATATACATATTTTTGTGCAGCAATATCTATATATATATATATATATATGCGTGCGTGTGTGTGCGAGTGGGAACATGCGGGAACCTGCTGTGCGCCAGAAAAACAGATGATGAGCGAAACAGCTGCAAAGTCAAATGTTGCTCTTCTTGTGACTGTCACTGAGAGCAAATACTCAAGAGTTGAGTCGCATCAGCTGTGCGCCGTGTGTGAACGCAGTCCGTTCGGGTCACTCAATCGCCTGCTGTCAGCTGTGAGTGGTTTGCTAAGCGCGCTCAAAGAGTAAATTTAAGAGCGAAGCAGGGTTGATAGTCGCTCTTGAGCATTTGCGCTCTGCAACTCGAACTCAAAACGTTTAAGTAAGAGAAATATAATTAGAAGAAATCTGACTCCACTATCCACTCAATTTCGTAGCTGTGACAATAAGAGACTCATTCGAATAGAACTCGCAAACTCACTCACACATACTATTACACAAATGCATATTTATTTATGCTAATGGCGACCGGCCCCCAGTGGCACGTCCCCAGCCCCATGCAGCGGTCAACGCGACAAACAACAAAATTCAAATCAAAAAAACTTTTACCCAAAGTTGTGCAAAAGAAGTTTTGCGAACGCTTCGCTTATTGAGCATAAATCAATTATGTATCCCAAAGATACTTTTAGCTCTACTTGCAATATAATATAATTCATTTAGTTTGCTCCTATAAACAATCTAAAAATTTCAAATTGATTTCACATTTAAAATTGCCGTTGCTTTGCTGTTGCTATTGCGCTCTTCTCCCCCCTCTCTCTCTTTCTTTCTCTCTACTCACTCATTCTTCGCTGTGCGCTGAGCACTTTGCAAGCTGGTGTCCGCTAGATGGCGCCACTCGTATCGTTTTCGTTTACAAAATAAAAATTTCTTCACATTTATCAGAATTATAATTTCAGTTGTGTGTGTTTGTGTGTGTGTGCATGTGTGGCAACTCAATTATCAAATTATGAATCAATTGGCCTCAATTATGATGTAGATCTTATCCAATTGCAAACATTTTGCCATCGCCTTTATCAGATACGAAAATATCTTTTTATTTCTGGCACAATTTCAGATACTTAAGTATCTATAAAAAAAATGCCATAAAATTGTCAGGTTTGCACTGTAGATTTCCGTGCAAGTAGATGTACTCTGCAGAGATCTGTGCTCGGTCAGTTTTCCGAGAATTCATTTGCCTTCTAAAAAACAACTGAAAATTTGATTCTTGTTAAATTTCATGTGATTTTCTTTGCTTTGCACGTATTTTCACGGCTTTTCACGGCGAGTGTGAAAATTTGAAAATTGGAAAATTTTAAAATATGGCTGTTTTTTTATGGGGCTAGCGAAAAAAGCAGGAATTTGTATACAGAAGAAGCTGTATCCAGCAGATAAAAGATAGAGTATCTACTGAAGCGAAAGTATCTCAGCAATTGACTATAAAGTATCTAGTGAATGGCCTATAAAGTATATATGAGATAAATAGTATCTAGAGTGCATTATATACAGTATGAGTGAGATACAATATATCTAGCGTGAAATAGATAAAGTATTTAAAACGTATAAAGTATCTGAGTGTAAAATATAAAGTATCTTTAAGAGTTAAGCTGTACGGCTAGCATTATATTAACGTAAAAGATGCAGTATCTTTTATACACATATGTATCCTAAAGTGTATTCATGTGAAAAGTAACTTCGATTTGTCAGCTAATAAATAAAATAGGCGAACATTTGCTTTGTTATCTGCTTAACATATCTACAAAAAAGCTAATGTATCTGACAGCAGCATAAGATACTCTCGCACTTCACAGAATTTCATTTGGAAAGGAAATTTCTAGATGCCGGACAGGCACACGCACACACAGAGAGAGTGTGAGAGAGAGAGAGAGAAAGATAGAGACACTCGATGAAACAGGTTCAAGATACATTTCAATCTTTCAATCTGTCGTTTTCAATCTGCACAGCAGCAGCAGAAGAAGAAGCAGGGGAGCAGCAGGAGGAGGAGGCAGAGACCATTTCATAATCGTCGAGATGCATTCAATTGAAATGAAAGAAGGACACAGCACAACAAATCCCTGATATGAATATCAAAATAATTCCAACAAACCCAAACACAAGAAAAGAACTGAGAAGAAGAAGAAGAAGGAGACGAAGTCGAGACAGAGAAAACCTCGTTTCAAATGCTGATGAAATTCGTAGCAGCTACAAAATATATGAATAAATGTAAATAAATTGTGCGAAGCAATAAAATAGTTTGCGGGAAATCGTAGATAACTATCGAACTAACGGTAAATCAATCTATATCTCTACATAAGCATGAAAATATCTAGGAAAAGTCATGAGGTATTAAAATCCTTCTCAATCTCCTATATTGCATAGCTCTATAGACAGACTGAAGTATCTTTGCTTCGAGTCGCTTAATACAAGTAGATTTTCCAGGCAGCATTTGCTGCTCAGATACTTTTGTATCTTTGGCTGATCTCTGGGGTAATTGTTGTGAAATTAGGCAGCCTGGCAACAGCTCTCGAGTTGCTACTTGGCACTTGCCACTTGCCACTAGGAGCTAGCAAGTTGCAACTTGCAACTTGCAACTTGATATGCCATTAGCCACACATTGTGAGCGTTGGCCACTGGGCTTCGATTTTTTGAAGTTGTTGCAAACTGCAGTGGAAAATTTCAATTTTGACATGCTGCGTACTTCGGGGGCAACAGCAACAACAACTGCAACAGCAGCAGCGCAGCCACAGCAACAGCGACGGCGGGCAGCGCAGTAATGTGGAACGAAACGGCCGCTCAACGGGCGGGTGTGAAGTGGCTACCAAAATATATATACATACACACATATAGATATATATATATGTGTGTGTGAGAACATTTCCATCATCCTTTTTGGCCTGCCTGCCTGCCTAGCTGCCTGGCTGGGTGGCTGGCCGCCTGTCGTTTGCGCTGCCTGCGCCGGCAGCAGCGAAACATGCTCAACCGGCACAAAAGTCACGTATGCAAACACACATACACGCGCACGCATAGCGAGAGAGATATACATACGTATACGCGCACAAAGTTGTGTGCACGCACAGCGTCGACAGAGCGGCAGTTTAAGGAGAAACAGAAACGGCGACAATGCCGGGCCGGTTGTAGGTGCGCATGAGCGAGTCGGACCGTTGAGTGAAACAGCTGATGAGTGAGCACAGTGAAAAAAGTAAGAGAGAGAGAGAGCGAGAGTGGGAGACAGAGCGAACAGCAGCGACAACGGCAGCGCACTGTAACAAGCAGTCAACTTACATCAGCCGTTTTGCGCTCTGCCTGTGTTTCTTTCTACCTGCACTCGCACAGCAACAACTACAATTACAGCACCCACATATACACACACACACACACATCCATACACATACAGGCTGAGGCCACATATTGAGTATATACGTGCATGTAGCGGTCTCTTTGCGGAGAGCACAACCGCTAATTGCTCAGCAAACACATATAGTGAATTGTTGTTGCTGTCGCTGCCTCTGCCTCTGCTGCTGCTCCGAGCGCCCCACTCAAACGAGTCGACAGCAACCAACCAACCACCACCAGGGCAAATGAGCGAATGCGGCCGGCCTATAAATAGCCGCTGCGCCGCTCAGCGCTTCATAGTAGCTTCGAAACACTGCTGAGATAAACACACATAGAAAAGTAAGAAACGGCAAAGCAGCAATAAAAGAAAGCGCAAACAGCTAGCAACAAAAATTTAATAAAAAGCGTGTATTTCAAAATTTTCTACTGTTGGACAATTCAAAGATTTTGTTTCATGAAGAATTCTATGTAAAAGCAAGAAAAAACTCAACACACACATCTAAAATGTACTTGTAGTACTTGTAACTGTAAAATAAAAAACAACAAATTTTCAATAATTTTATGAAAATTATTAAATTTAATAATTGCCATTAAACAAATGCAACGGACCAACGCCATTTAAGTGATATACTACAAACAAACAACCAACAACAACAAAGTGCTGTGATTTCCAACTACAACAACAACCAACAAATTTCAAGCAATCAAGCAGCATAAATTTTTAATTAAAACAACCAGCAAATTGTGATAAATAATAATAAATAATTAACTACACAACAAGAGAACTATTAATTATTAAAAACGTTTCAAGTGATACAAAAAAGAAGCGAAAAGAAAGGAATCGAAAGTAAAATTCGAGAGAGAAACAAAAACAAAAATTCTAATGAAAATGGAAGTTCTCGCTGTGCAGTCAAACTACGGCGGAGTCCTTGGATCCAACAAAGTTAGAGGTAAGTTTGAAAGAAACGAAAGAAGAAAGTAACTTTGCTGAAAGCAAAGATTCTAGATTGTTCCACAAGCTTCCAGCAGCTTAAATCGAATAGAAAAATTTTAGGTTTCGAAAATCTTAAAAAAAAATCAAAAATTATTTTTGAACTGAAAATCTCACTAGACTTAACAAATTTCAAATTGAAAATCAAAACATTTTTTAAATTTTCATTAGTTTTTAAAATTTAAAATTTTTAAATTTTTTGATGTGAATTATCTTGACTTTTTTATTACAAACCTTTTATATTTAAAAGTTAAAAGCAAAAAATTGCATTAAAAATCAATTTACACATGCAAAATAAATAAAGCAACAACCACAACACAACATGAGCAGCGACATCTGCTACACAGTCACGTACGCAACAACAATAACAAAAAATAAAATAAAATAAAATGAAGAAAAAAAATATTGTGTAAAAACTGATTTTTTTCGTTTTTCTGTTGCTTGTTGCTCGCACTCTACCTACCTCGCACTCATGTGCCCTCTCTCTATCGCACACCCAGTGCCCTCTGCCTGTGCCGCTTTTATCTCGATTGCTGCTTGTTGCCAAGCGGCGTTCGCTGCGCTTGCAAGAGTGTGCGTGTGTGAATGAACATTGAATAGCAGAAAAGCTGCAGCTAAAAGCTCCAGCAACAGCAACTTAACGCCGTTTAATCGTTCACTAAGTCGTCGTCGTTGTTGTTGTGTTGTTGCTCTTTGCGTTTTGTTTTATTGGTTTCTTGTACTTATCAAAGTTTTGTTTTGTTTGCGCTACTTTTAGATTGGACCAGCACATTGACACCGCCTACGTCCGCCGCGTCGGCCAAGAAGGTCTCCGCCGTCGCCAACAATAGCAGCAGCAACAGCGGCAGCAGCAGCAACGGCAGCAGCAGCCGCAGCCAGAACACACACAGTATTAAGCACAAACAGCAGGCAAACACCAGCAGCAACAACGGCAGCAAGAAAACCAAGTCGAGCAGCCATCCCATCAACAGCACACCCTACAATCCCTACAGCTATGAGGACGAGCTGACTGCCTGCTGCGACGTCGACATGGCTCTCGTAAGCGAGCTTTCGAACGGTCTGCTGGACAAGCTGCGCGAGGCGAAGGCGTGCCATTTGACGTGCACCGAAGTGTCGCTACCCTGTGATCTCACGCCCAATATTGCGGCGGACATTATTCGTGTTTCCGAGAAGGAACCGTGTGGCATTCGCGGCTGCACCATCTACGTTGAGTTCGAAGATGAGCCACAGAACTCGCGGCGCATTGCCTCCCTGAAAGTGGATCCCGAAACGGTGTCCACATTCGAGGTATATCTGACCCTGCGACAGGATCATCGTGGCTGGGCGGCACTGCTGCCCCAGTTCATGAAGAGTCTGGCACGCACCATCACCATCAGTCCAGAGTATACCATCACCAAGCATAAGCTCTACTCTGCTGATGGCCTGGGCGCCAGACGCAGCTACAGCTTTGGCTCAAGCTCCCGGTCAAGCTCAAGCTCAAGCCATAGCCAGGCCATTGCAACGCCAACGATATAATTCAGTTGAGCTAGAGATTGCAAGCGAGCGAGAGAGACAGAGATCAAGAGAGAGAGAAAGAGAGACGTAGACGGAGACGCAGTTATATTTATATAAACACATATATATAGAAGCGAGCCCAGCGAGTGCGACAAAGAAGCGCGCCCAACACCGCCCAACACCCCCTGTGATGTCGAGAGCAGTAGTTAGTTGCGAGCGCAACGCGACGACGAAGCAAGTATTCGAAGCCACCCCACCTACACACATACACAAATACACACACACACGAAACGCATACACATTAGTATACGACACACTCACTCACACTCACACACACACACAACAACTAATAAGCAAGGAGTTGCTCTTGAGCCTGCGCCGCTCGCTCATTCGGCAGCTCTTTTTGCATTCAATTTTGTAATTGTGACTCTCACCACCATTTTACTTAGATGCGTAGTAGATGCTATAAAAAGCAAACAAAACAAAAAACAAATAATTAGTGTTTTAAGTTGTTTCTCCTTTTTCAAAAACAAAAAGAAAACAAAACGAAGAAAAAACATAAATTTATAAAATAAACAAAAAAGAAAACATGAAATTCAAAGACGACGATCCGCAAGCCACAGCAGCGAGCGCAACTGTGCGAACAGCCCTCGCTGCTGGACCACTGCGAGGGTCGCGCGTCGACAACTCATGAATATGTGATACTGTTTAAGATGCTAAGAGTTTTTTGCAAGCGCTCGCAAGTACGGCCAGGCAAAAAACACACACACACAACCACACATTTACATACATACATACACACAAAAAGATACAAAACATAAAAATTAAATGTGAACAGATTTTTTTAATTGTATGCTATTGTAGTAATAAACAACAAACAAAACAAACAACAAACAAACAAAACTTGATCTTGATAAATTTTAAATTTAAAATATGTTTAAATGAGAAAAACAGCATAAAAAGCTGTAAAAAAGAACTCTTCGGATGCCACTGCGACGCAGCACCACACACTCTCCAAGAAGAAGAAGAAGACGGGAGATGATGTTGCTGTGGAAGAAGAAGAGCTGTACGATCCAATTTTAGTTAGACGCAGCTTGCTGCATTAAAATTTTTTAAATTATTTATTAATCTTAATTAAAACCAACAAATTTTAGGATTTTAACAAATTTTTATATACATATATGTGTATGCATATATATATATATATGAATGTATATATATATATATATATATATATATATATATATATATATATATATACATATATATATATATATATATTATTAAATGTATAGCGCGTACAACAAATAAAACAAAAATCATTAATATTAAAAATTAAAAAAAAAAAAACAAAAATTAAAAATAAAAAATAATTGCTTAAATGTTAAGGCAAAAAGAATATCTCAGTAAATGTGAAAGCGTAAAAAATTTGTAAAATTTTTTTTTGTCTGTGTAAAAACTCCAATTGCGATAAAAAAACGAAGAAAAATAAAAAATAAAAATAAAAAAACTTAAATGTAGCAGCGAAAAAATGATAAAAACGTAAAATTAACAATTCAAATGCAATGCGATATAATTTTTAAAAATTACAATTTAACGTAACAAAGAAAACTTAATGTTCTCACACACACACACATACACCTACATACACACACACAAAAGTATCTATACCAGCTTAAAGTATCTTTATCTTTCAAATCGAAAACTATTTATTACAAAAAACAAAAACACAAAAAACTATAAAAAAAACAACACGAAAATTCATGTATTAATTTTTTTTATTACAACAACAAACATATTGTATTTAATGTTAAGTTTTTTTATTGCGTAATTTAAAAACAAAAATAAAAAAAATAAAACAAAACAAAAATTAATTGTGAGAAATTTGTAACCAAAATGTAAAAAAACTTTTGTGAAAAAACAAATGCAAAAACAACAAAAGAAAAGCAAAAACAAAGGCAAAAAAAAATATTAAAAAAAAAAATAAAAGCATATAATTTTTCCTGCTCTAGCGGAAAATAATTGTGGAAAAAAATTAAAACAAAACGGCTTTCTATTTTACCATGGGTCGAGCGGGTGGCAGGGGAGGGGTTGGGCGAGGGGGAGTGGCGCTTGTAGCGGGTGAGCTGCAGCTTTCTTTTGCAGCCAAGTGAAGTGCGGCAACGTTGCAGCGACTGCAACTGGCAACTGGCAACGGCAACGGCAATCGCAGTAGTACGATCTGTGGCAGCGGAGGCAACCAGTTTCGGCTTTGGCTTTGGCTTTTGCTAGCCCCAGTTTTCAGCCAAGGCTAAGCGGGCAGCGGCAGGCGAGGCGAACCCGCGCTGTGAACTTGACTGAAGAGCGGCAACAGCGCACGATCGTGCGACACTTGTCAAACTGAATTAGCTGGCAAACAGTAGCTGAGCTTGCAACTAAATGTAGCTCAAACACTATTCAACACTTGAACTTGTAAGCAGTTAGCATCATAGTTTAGGCCTAGTACGTAGCTGGCTAAGAGGAGCATATTAAGGAATCAGCTAGATCAAGGAATTCAATTATAAGGGCAACTAGAACAGGCTCATCCAAATAGGACACAGTATGAATCTATAATGAATTGGGGATACTGAGGATAGTAATGACAATGCTGATCAAAGAATTCTTCAGATTCTTAAACTCATTTCGACGTTTTCTTCTGTCCCTTAGCTGAGTTGTTAGCTTACGTTGAGCTCTATCTATCTATCATGTGGATAAGTCTGAGGGGTCTTCACGATAATGATAATGAGAGTGATAATCATAAACATTGTGATCATGATCATGTTATTGATGATAATGAAGATAACAATGACTTGGAAAGACTAATAATGCTCATTATTATGAGTCATGTAAGCTAATCTACTAATGAAAACCCTAATGACATTAGAAATAATAATAAATATATCAATGACAATGATAATAATGATGGTAATAAATATGCTAATGACAATGACAATAATGATGATAATAAATGATAATGACAATAATTATGATAATAATGATGATAATGACAATCACAATGACAATGAAGATGACAATAAATATGCTAATGACAATAATGATGATAATAAATATGCTAAAGATAATGACAATGACAATAATGATGATAATAAATGATAATGACAATGACTATGATAATAATGATGATAATAAACATGCCAATGATATTAGTAATGATAATAAATTGGCTAATGACAATCACAATGACAATGATGATTATAATAAATATGCTTATGGGAATGATTATGGCAATAATGATTCTAATAAAGATGTCAATGACAGTGATAATGAAAGATAGAAATGCACAGAAAACAAGGATAATGATATATCCTATAATAATGACTGAGTTAACACTAATGGCAATGAATAATATAATCTATAAGATCATAACTCAGTTGACATAGTCTTAGACCTGTTCAAATTCCTGCATAATTGTTGCTGAACACAGCATTTGATGGTCCTATTAATACGCATGACAAATGCTGGAGTCATATTGACTTCAGATTGAATCGATATATAATACTTTAATAATATTGCACATTTATTTGCTGCTCTATATGGAGATAAGCTTGTTGTCAAAATACTTTGATGAGTCATTGGCCTTTCTGCTGTTGCCTGCCTGTGGGTTCCGCTGAAGTTCTAATCTGCATTGGCAAAATCTTGAGTGCGTTTTAATTAAAGTCTTAAAATAAGTAATTCGAATTAAAATTCTCACGTCATGAAAATACAAAATAAAATTGTTTAATGCCACGTCACAATTTGGATATGTTTTAATTTTTATTTTCGTTTTCCTTTTGGCTTTTGTTTTTGTTTTCATGTGTGAAAATATTTGTTTTTTGAACTTTGCATTTGGCGCCTCGAACGAAACGGTCGAAAGGGGGCCAAGGGGGCCAAGCGGGCGGACTTCAATTTGCTGACGCGTCTGACGCTGATAATTTCCTTGATTCTGTAATTTATAGTTGTTTTTATAAATATTTTTCAAAATTTCTTTCTCTCACTATATATATATATTTTATATATACATGTCTTTAGATTGTGTGCGATATTGTTTTTAGTGTCGTCTATTGGAACACGTTTCCGTTATGTGACACACGCGTTTTGTTAGAAGACAACAAATAGTCCTCTGGGCGGGAGTGTACGACTAGGAGATACCCTCGCTGGAAGGTTCTAGATATGCGAACTAAATGAAACCTTAACTTGTGACTGTTTCAAGGTACATAACTCTACTATTTGATATAACTTTTTTTAGAACTTTTTCTGAAGTCATGAATGTAATTTTAGAATCTTAATTATACTTACAATATGTTAGTAAACATAACTGTATATGTGCTTGTGAGTATTACTTACAAAATGTTCTGGTTGGGTTTTTGCTATGCTCCACCTGCTCAAAATATTACAATTGATATATAAAGAGTATTAGTATTGATATTGAGTAAAAATAATTATTGTATGTTGTCTGTGATTTGTAAGAATATATATTTAAAATTTCAACTATCTAGCTTTTAAAGTTCTCGAGATAAACGCGACAGTCAGTCAGAGAATCGCCTTGATGGACTGATAGCCATAGCCTACGGCTGCTGCTGCTGAAGTATATATTCCTTGTAAAAAAATAGTCCTACACACTGCTTATACATAATCATCATATAAATTCCAGTTCATTGCAAACAAAAGAGATGTTTATTAGAGGAGTGTTTTGTCACTTCACCAAGCCATAGTCATTATTTTTCTGCTTGCGCATAGTTTCTATGGGCCCTGACCACATTTCGGCTGGCAGCTGTATAAAGTTCTATATGAAGCCGCATGTTGGGGCAGAAAACATCTGGGAGGTATTTCCCCATCGATTCGCGTGAAAAGCGAAGACAATATTTGCAAGACAATTCAAGAGCGGAGTTTGCTGCCTATTGTTCCAATTGTTCCGCTGGAAAGCGAGGCAAGAAGCGAGCGAACAAATATTATAAATAGTATTATTAAACGGGTGTGTCACCTATGTCAACAGTTTGGTTTGGCTGCATATTTCAAATACGGAATTTCTGTTATTGAACGAAAGGCGAAACAATTCGCAAATATTTTCTCAAGTCTCCGTCGAGCGGGTTTATTTTTGAATAGATCGCAATAGCCGGGCGACATGTGCCGGTCGCCCGAAACTATTTCGACTTTCATATTCATGTGTTTGTGCTTGTCTGGCTTTTCGACTAAGCACAAAGAATTTTTGACATGGAAATTTTCCAGGTTTCTTCTATTTGGACACGTGGCGCTGCGAAAGAGTTTTTGCAGCTCCAACATCTACAGATATTACCAGGGCCTATCGCTTAATCCCTCGACAGTCTATATATTTATACAAATATTAGCTCATCAGCTCTCCCTGAGACTTCGGATACCTGCAGACCTGAGCAGCTCTGTACCTGAATGGGCACAGGAACAGGTCTTATCAATACGAAATATGTGTGAATCTATGAGCATTTACTATCAGCTCTTTGAAAGCAAACAACTTTTATTTAAGCAAACACTCGAGCATGTACATAGGCACTTGTTTTTCTTGACATGAGTGCGAGTACAGTGGAGACTGCTTATAAGGTATATAAAGTTAGTGAAGCGAAATGAATGTTGCGAATGCTTTGACTACTTATGCTTGTAGCTTTATATATAAAATATGTATAAAATATTTGATTACAAAGTATCTCAATGTGTGTATCTACAGTGAAGACTGCTTATAGAGTATATGTTACTGAAAAATATTGTAGATAAAGTAAAATGAATTCTGGGAATGCTGTGAAAACTTATACTAAAAGGTTCTTCAAAAAGG